ATAATGGATCCATACAATTCCATTGGGCAACACTGAACAAATATAACCCTCCAAGCATTTAGGGGGCGTTTGGTTGAAGATAAATTTTAAGAATACTAGAGAAATGTAATTACTAGGTATCCATAGGGAAAGTTGAATAGATGGGGAAGTTAAAAAAAAGTAGTTTGGTTTGACAAAATTTTACCAGGGAAATATATGACAAAAAGTGTGTCAACAGTGCTTTACCCGGGTTTTCTCAAAAAACCACCCTCAAATCGGGTTTCTAAACAGTGCAAATTACTATCTTTCTCAAAAAGCCATGCATTTCACATAGATGAGTTTTGGTCAAAAGCTGTTGAACCAAACATTGGTTTTCTAAAAACCAAACTTCATTTACCTAGGAAAATCTCAAAAAGCATGAAACCAAACTTCATTTAGAGGCACTCTTGATTCTAATCGGAGTCCTTCTCTGCGTTGTTGGATGGCTAGACTTATTATGAAATAGAAAAGATAAATAACACCTGTTATGAACACAACTAAAATGTATGGGAAAACTTCAACAAAAAAACACAAGAGAGAGAAAAAATAAATAAAGATAACATTACATACCCTCTCGAGAGAGTTTATTTAGCAAGGGTGTTGGATTCTTATCAGATTCAGTAGGCAAGAACGACAGAGGAGTTGTTGGACTCAAAGACTCTGTTTTGATCAATACTTGACTTTTGGGGTCGCATGAAGGAGTCTCAATGGCAGCGCCATCTCCACGGCCAGCACCACGGTGGGGAAATTGAATAGCAGTTCTCATCCTTTTGCTGCCCCAATTTAATGGCATTGGAAATGTAGCAACCAAAATATGCAGCAACCAAAATATTAAAAAAAAAATGTGTCTGAGCGTTGACCGCATGTTGGAAAAAATTAATTGCGTGTCAGAAAAACGTGTCGGAACGTGTCGGAGAGTTGACCGCGTGTCCCCAAATGTTGACCGCGTGTCGGACACATGTCCGAGCGTGTCGGAAGGTGTCCGTGTCGGACACGTGTCCGACATGCAAATTTTTCACAAAATCGCGTGTCCATGCTTGTTAGTCTTACACACACATAAAAGTGTATCAGACCATATAAGGAGAAAAGAAAGAAAAATATAAATAAATGGATACAACACATTTTTGTGTATATGTAGCAGATAAAAGTATCTCCTACAACATAAGAAACATTGATGTAACCTATGCGTATATAATGCTGGACAGTAATGGAAATCACAATAACCAGAGGACAACTATAGATGAACTGAAAGACATCTCATTATATTCTTCAATTAATTCAAGCAATACAGAATTTCAGTGACAGATTCCTAATTACTGACTCCAACCTATCACACTGTGAAAGGGAATTACAACTCAATCAAACAGTGGATACAAACAAAGCAAATACAAAAGGAATAACAATGACAATGCAGAAAAGATTAACACTAAGATCTCAACTCCCCCTCAAAGCCAACACACCTAGGCTCCAAGAGTTCCCTAGAGATCCCCAATTTTTCTACTAAGCTAATACTGAATTCATGTCCATCTCACTCCCCACATTTTCCTCATTTTATCCTAACTTCTTAGAATATTCTAGAATTAACTAACTCTATTTTTTTCTCTCTATAACAACCCCTATACTATTATTACATTTATCCTTAATACTTCAGCCATCAATACTCCCCCTCCAAAAATTCACATTGTCCTCAAGGTGAAGCTAGGTAAAGTGAGAGAAACTTCCGCTCGAATCCCATTGTTTGAAGCATTTAGATTTTAGACCCAGGTATGCTTGAAACTGCCATTGAGTAGTGCTGCAACCTTACAAATAGTTGTGTTGTTGTAGCCCTCTAGTGCTCTGTTTTCAGTGTCACCAATATGCTACTTAACTGACAACATCCATAAACTACCATTGAGTCGTGCTGCAACCTTACAAATAGTTGGGCCTTTGTAGCCCTCTAGTGCTTTATTTTCAATGTCACAAATATACTCCTTAACCGACAATATCTTGTTATGAGTTCCATCTAACTGCATAAAATATGCCTCAAGCCACATCTTCAGATCCTTCACGTCATTATCAACTCCAAAGTTGCTAGCCATAAGGCTTCCACTTCTGTTAGTACTAATTTGACGAACAACAGATGCAATATTAGAAACGTTATTTGAGGTTAGGATCTGCAAATGAGCCTCAAATTGCTGACTCTAGCCATGTAGTCTCCCCTCTTCATCGTTTGGCTTCTCCTTTCCCTCACCTATAATCATCACATACAAATGAGAAAATTGATAAACATGCCAAAAAAAGAGAGAGCACCACACCTGAAAGAAAAAATGCACCTTCTTTGATCGTCCCCTTCTTCTTGTGTTAGGCAACAAATTCGCGAACCTTGACGTCCTCTTTGACTGTCATCCTCCGTCGCCACTCCTCCTAGTGTCGCTCACCCTCCTCCATTGTTGTTTCTTGCTTCACGAACGGAAACTGGAGCCTTAGAATTGGACCCACTTCTTTCATTAACCTGAATTTGGGTTCCCACCGAATTAGGTCCAAATCGATTAATGCCTTGCCCATTTCGCTCAATACTGCTAGAAGAATTAGGCCCAGCCCACGTGTTGTTTTGATGGGCCAAAGATGGGCATGAATGGTGCCCTGCCTCAGATCTACTTGACCCAGAAAAAAGCTGCCCTGCCCCAACCCTCTTTCTTTCTTTTACCCTCTGCTTCGCGTGCTCTCCTTGCAACTGCGTCTTTCCATTGCTAGACTGGGATGACCCATCCTCTTCTTTGTGGAGGTTCGAGTTCGATAGCTCAAGCACCTGATTTTCATACCCGTCTTCTTCTTCCGCCATTGCATTTTCTTCTTTTTTCGCTTCTTCTCCATCTGTTTCTTCTTCTCTCCTGCAACTGCTGGATGTTCTCCTTCTTTGCTGGTTTCTTCTTTGTTTCCTCCTTCCTCTTCTTCTGTTGTGTCTTCTTCGGCTACTTCCTCTATTTTTTTCTGCAACTTCCTCTTTTACTGCAACCTCTTCTTCTACCGTTTTTCTTATTTCTTTTTCGTTGGCTGATGCTTCTTGCTTTACTTCTTCTTCTTCTTCCAAATAGTCTAACGTCTCCGATTCAGCACCATATACCAAGTAAATTTCAGGTAAATATTTCTCTATGAACACCTTCTCAAAGTTCCTCCAACTTGCGTTATGATTGAACCATCTCCAACCTTGATACAAGTTGAACGCACTCCCTCTAAGCCCTCTCACAACTTCCATCAACTTCTGATCTTCATTGATTCTTTCTATTTGGAAAAATTGTTCCAAATAGATTAGCCATCCCCAAGCTTCATTATCTCATCCGTCACCATAGAATTTTGGAACCATTGTAAATCTATATTCCATTTTTTTTAGATATGGACTAGAAGCACTCAGAGGATTGTAGTGCTTTGATATCAAATTGCTGGAACCTATGCGTATGTAATGCTGGACAGTAATGGAAATCACAATAAACAAAGGACAACTATAGATGAACTGAAAGACATCTCATTATATTTTTCAATTAACTCAAGCAATATAGAATTCCAGTGACAGATTTCTAATTAATGACTCCAACCTATCACACTGTGATAGGGATTACAACTTAATCAAACAGTGAATACAAACAAAACAAATACAAAAGGAATAACAATGACAATGCAAAAAAGATAAACACTAACATCTCCACTCCCCCTCAAAGCCAACACACCTAGGCTCCAACTCCAAGAGTTCCTTAGGGGGTGTTTGGTACAGGAGAAATTTTTATTTGTCCGGAAATCTCGATTTTCAAAAATATGATTTTTGCATTCAGTTTATGATAATATCCAAAAGTTAAAAATTTAGAAAAATTCAGTTTGCCGGGAATCTCGAAAAATCCCGCGTACCAAACGGGCAAACGCCCCCTTAGAGATTCCCAATTTCTCCACTAAGCCAATACTGAATTAATATTTATCTCACTCCCCACATTTCCCTCCTTTTATCCCAACTTCTCATAATATTCTAAAATTAACTAACTCTATTTTTTCTCTCTCCGTAACAAACCCTATACTATTATTACATTTATCCTTAATACTTTAGGCCCATCAAACACTAATCCCATTAAACTTTCTAGTATTTGTACCATGCATTTGTAACAAATAACAAGTATACATAAGAAGACAAACCCAACTCAAACAGAAATGAAAACCAGATCAAGCTATCAATTTGGGCTGGGTTACAATTCAGAGTACTGGGTTCATATGGGTTTTGAACAACCCTGATTCTAAATTGGCGTTGTTTCATTTTATGGGAAAAGCACATATAGCAAGTACATCGGAGAGCTCTGCTGCTATGGTTGAATTTAACGTGCTTCACTCTTCAGCTTTTAGTGTACCCAAAATTTCCTTCGGGGTTGTTTTAGAGAACAGGTTTGGATTAAAATTGAAAATGAAAATGAATTAACATATCAAACGAAAATGAAATTTTTTCATAACCCATTTGCTAAAAATATGATGGGAAAAATGTGTATCATTCTAAAGGATATAAAATTGTGTTATTTTAAGTGAAAGAAAGAAATAAATAAAAGAGGAAAGAGTAGACAAAAAAATATAAAGATGTGGATTACGCTTTTTTGTAAAAGTGAAATGACACAAATTGTGTCATTTAAAAGGACAAACACTTTTCTCAAAAATGATTATTAACACTTTTTTTGGTGCAGAGACATAAAATTTACGGTCTATTAATTTAGGAAAAAATTACTCGGTTAATTATAAGGACAATGTATGTATCATGAGATAAGGAGAAAAACATTTTCCTAATTATCATAACACAGAACCATATCTGGGGCCCATATATGGCTTAGGTCCAATGATTCCACAACTGTGTGCTGTGCCTTCTGTGTGCTGTGAAGAACAAACCAAATCGAATTAGCTGAAATCATTTACCAGTTACCACACTTTCTTAGCTTTCCCATTCCCAATCCCATTTCTCATTCTCTCTCTCTCTCTATACCCTCACTCCCTCACCTAGAGACTCATCATGCAAATCGTAACTCTCATCAATCTTATGTGGCTAAGATAAACAACAGATACCCATCACAGTTCAGGGTCTGCAGAGGCCAGATTCAGCACACGGGTACGCATACCCCTCTTAACATGTTTCCTGCACTTATGTTGTTTTCTCTTTTTCCCATTTCGAAATCCACCGAGTGTGCATAGTCCTGAACCCTTAAATTAGTAGGGGACTATGAAAAATATGAAGGGCAATGTATAATGGTGTTCAGTATGTTGGACTGAAGTTTGTTGTGGAATCCGAGTGTTAATTGACTACTTCTGTAGCGATTATGTAAATCAACTTGTATGAAACATGGGAACATTAACCAAAGTGCCACTGTTTGGCAAATTTTTTACCTAAATCCGACGCGAACAGTACTTCCTACCAGATTGTCACGCGACGTAATTCGCTACTGGTAGCGAATTACGTCCGCCAATGATTTGTGACACGTGGCACATTTTCGTAGAAAAAAGCTGACTAGACGAAGTTCACTGCTAGTGGTAGCGAATTTGGTACGCAATGTGACCGCGTGTCATGAAATCATAGGCGACGAAGTTCGCTACCAGTCATAGCGAATTATGTCGCGTGACAGTATGTTAAAAAGTACTGTTCGCGTGATATTTGGGTAGAAAATTTGCCAACCAGTGGCACTTTGATCACTGCTCCTGAAACATGAGCATAAATCTTTGTGGATATACGCTGAGATGAGTGAGTTGTATCTGTTAAAGAGGTGCTGTGTAATATTGTACGAGTCTTTACGAGAAACTGAAACAGTTGATATGCCCCATGTTACTATATGCGGGCTTGATTAGTCTTGGTTGTTTTACTTTGAAGGTTGTTGTTTGGTGACCTGGTGGTCATGATAAATAGCCTCTCTATTAATTGGGGTAAGGCTTCTTGCATCTGACCATCTCCAGAGCTGTTAATAGTTGGGCTGTGTCCCTTTTAAGACTGAATTATTTCAATGTGGTGGAATAAAAGGAAACAGTGATTGATGGGACAATTTGAGGAGCAGTGATTTTGTTAAGACCCATTTAAACAGGTTCTCTGAGATTGCTGTTCTTTTTGTCATAATACGGATGTGATGACCAACGCCTTTTGGTTTGAGTGGCAAGCAGTTTGGTTTTCCTTGAGCAAAGGTTTGGGTTTGGGTCTTGTGAATGGAAAAAATAGGCATTAGGAGAGCTTTGTCCCATTAAGTGGGTCTACTCGGATTAGTTGCAGCCTAAAGTGGCTTTTGGATATCTGGGGTCTCAGACCAAAAAAATACTGATGTGATGAATAGGCGTAAGCATGTACTGCATATGTGACTTATAGGGATGTTTGTGCCTGAAAAACTTGTTGCTGAAAGAAAGTTATTGCTGATCCCTCTCGCTTGCTTGCTCTCAAAATGTTGGATATCATATCACAGATTGACATAATTTGCATCAGGGTTTTTTGATGAAGTTAGTGTATGCTTTGGGATCTTTTCACCTAATTGATCTCTAGATAACTATTAATAATACAGAATGGTAATATGTTTTAAAGCACCAGATGGATATGCTTTCAGTATTTTGGGATTGTTGATACATGAGATAATCATGAAGTGTGATGAATGCAATTATGCATCCTTTTTGAAATTTTCTGTTGTGCTGATTTTCGTTACTATTTCTGAAGTTTAATTATTTTATGATGCTGAGAAAGTTGATTTAGTTGTGGAACTATGTCTGTCATTCTGATTTTTGCTGAACCATCCATTGGTAATTTGGTACAGGTATGAAAGGTGAAAGCAGAGCGTGGATCTGAGATCTTATTTTTTGAAGGCAATTCACTATATTGGTTATTCTGGTGCATTGGCCTTTTCTGATTGGGCTCCTATATCAGCACTTAACAAACTATGGCTTACCAATTATTGCCATTCCTATCTTATCTTGCTTGGTCCACTTGAATGAGCATTTCTAATCTATGCTGTCTGACATGATGTATCTACTTGTTATAGCTCCGTCATAATTAAAAGAACTCAGTTTTTCATCAAGGTACACTCTCCCACCATTGGTGGGAAGACGCATGCAACTATGCACAACACATATTTGAGCTCAACGATATATGCTGTTAGGTGTAACGAATCATTCTCTTTATCTTTCAATGGCTACTCAAACTTCTGGTATGAAATATTTGACAGAACCCCATCATACTGTTCATCATGCTGTGGTTGTTGTGATTGCTGTGCACTCTCCACTTACAGAGTACCCATAAAGCCTTGTCTTCTGAATGGGTTGAGGCAATCCACTCTCCTTCAATTGTCAGCATCTAGAAGGTTGATATTGGGTGGTGGAGACCAGTACTTTTCCCGGCTACCAGCTTATGGTCTCCTCAGAGGTTGTAATGAGCTTAATTGTTCAGCCAATGAGAGAACTGTTTGCAATAGAAATGGAAGGAGAATAAAGGGAAGATGTTTTCGTGCAGCCTCACAAAAAGGGGGAGAAATTTTCCATTCATTTGGTTCTGATGAGGCTGAAGCAGTTCTCAGCTTTTTGAGTGAGGAAGCAGATAAGGATGATAATGGTATCAAAAGGAAGAATGTGTCTTCATCCAAAAGAATTGAAGCTGAAAAGAAAGGAAAAAATGTGGGCAGAGAGAGACATTTGACTATGAGCTTGAGCGAGAAAGTAGAAACAGAGAAAAAAGGAAATTTGAAGCAACGTGAGACATCCACCAAAGACTTGAGAAGAGAGTATGAAAAACCCAACAAAGAAAGAGAAGCCTTTACAAAAGGTGAAAACCATAGGAAGAAAAGAGATGTGTCTAGTTGTTCATCTTATTACTCATTTTCATCAGGAGATTTTGGGAGTGATCTGGAAGTTCAGGATAAGATTGCTTTGGAAGAATTGTCAGTGGGATATGAAAAGGATGAATCAAATCATGTGGAGGGACAAGTAAAGGAAGAATTCAACAGGCAAAGAGATGACTCAAAGAAGCTGCATGATGTTTCAAAAAAGGATGGAATTGCATTTGGTGCTGATATTGATTGGAACCTAAGGAAGAAGTCTGAAAAGAAGCTAATTGGGGGAGCTATGCAAGAAATTGAATCCACAAAAGAACACCAAGATATGCATTCGAGAGCATTTAGAACACATGAATCTGATGATGGAAAAGCATCTATTGCACACAAGCAAGTCAACCGAAAGGAAGATAATTCATCTTTTGTGGAGGATTTGGATAAGAAAACAAAAAAGGCATATATTCAAACAGGAAACAGAAGAAAGCATCAATTTACAGATATACAAGAGTCTGGTTGTGAAGAAGTTGAGACAACTTTGTTATCACGAAAGACATTCAGTGGCAGGGAGGGGAACCTAGAGATATCAGAAACACTATTACAGGAAACAGGTGATGAACATAAAAAAATTGTTGGCTCAACTTCTACCACAGGAAAGGAAACTTCAAAATCAAAGAAGACATTCAGTGGCAGGGAAGGGAATCTTGAGATATCAGAAACACTTTTAAAGGAAACAAGTGATAAACATAAAAAGTTTGCTGGTTCTACTTCTACCTCAAGAAAGGATGTAATAAATAGAAGTTCCCAGAAATATATTGGAAATTCAAAAATTGAAGACACTGAAAGGGCCTCAGACACTAGGATGAAGAACCTGGAAGTGAAAAAGGTTTCAGTTTTGAATTCTGTTCAGGGAGTGGAGGAGCAACACTACCAAAAAGGAGAAAAGATCATTAAACAGGCTAAAGAGAGATCTCAACAATTTTCTGAAGTATCACAAGCTCATGAGAGTAATGTGGAAGATACATCTACCATAAAGTCTAAAAATAGGATAAAGAACTGGGAAGAAAATTCAAAAAGTTCAGATGCAAGGGTGACATGGCTCCAGACAGATAAAAAGACAACTCAGAGTGTTCAACATGGGAAAGGATCTGAAGTTGTGAGCCCTTTATCAGAAGGCTATGCCAGTGATGAAAAGAAAGTTTCAAGTTCTCAAAGAACTTCTGATAGGGTGATATTCATCCCAAGAAGTAAATTGACATCAATTGTTAAAACTAGAGAAAGTTCTTGCCAAACTGATGAAAGGATTACAAATTTTGAATTGGCTAGTGAGGCCCAAAGACCTAGGAACCTATCCATTTCAGATGGAATTGCCTCAAGAGAAGTATCGAGCTCCCAGGGATCATTGAATTTGGTTTCTGAGGCTGGAAAACATGTTATATTAGCTGAGGGTGATGAAAGGAGTTCTGCAGAAATGTTGATCACTCCCTCTTCCCAATTGGATAGAGGCTCAGCACATGTTGAATTAGCTTCTGGAATTGCAAGCACTGAAATCTTCCTTGAAACTTCAGAAAGTGGCTCATCTGCTTTGTATGAAAGAAGTCCTGCTTTGCTTTCTGGACCATATTCTAGATATGGAAGTGACCAGGCTGATAGCGAGCCTTCAACTATCATGGCTCCTGAAGATGCTCTTGGTTCAGCAGATCGTTTGGAGAAATCATCTAAACATTTTGTTGATGAGTTCGTTGAGAGGGTCAGGCATGAAGTCACAACTTCAGAAACACAAGAGATGGAGCTTACTGGAACAAAGTTGGTCTTTGAAGATGCAGGTAATCAGGTATACAATTCAAGGCAACAAGGCACTCAAAGTAACTCTCAGTCAAAGGAGTCTGATTCTAGCCGTTCCTCTGGGTTTCCCAGGACCAAAGGACCTTCTGATGAGATGTGGGATGTAAAAGAACCATCTGTTGAGCAAAGTATAGTTGCTGAAGAACCAGAGATCAGCCAGGAAACTGGGAAACCGATTGTTATTAGAACTGGCAGGTCCCTATGGAGTATGATTGCTGATGTTGTTCGATTACGTTGGGGTTTGCATGTTGGTTCCTCCACCTCAGCTGGAAGATCAGGTGAGAGGAATTCATCAAACAAGTCTGATAGTGAAACACGGTTTTCTGGGCAGGGGCATGAGGAAACCAGTAAAAGTAATGCAATAAAAGAAACGAGTGTGTTACCACAAACCATGAGTTCTGATAAGTTAAAGCCAGGCAAACTTAGTGAGGGAGATGGGTCTGACACTAAAAAATTGAAGGACAAAGGAAAACATCTTGAAGTTGGATCGTCTTCTCCAAATACATTGGAAAGTGGATCTACATCAGTAGTCACCTCATATGCTTCTGGAGAGGAAAATGCTAGTTGGAGTGAAGATGGAAAATATTTGAAAGTAACTACTACTGGCATAAAAAACATGGAATTACCAATTCCATTACCTGCTAGAGGGCCTCCAATTGTGGGAGAAATTGTAAATACTGGTGGATCTGACATATCGGTAACTGAGTCAGAGGTGCCAATCATGGAGCCTGTTGCTCCAGTGCAGTCTGAATTGTCTGGTTCAGAGAGAAAGGAAGGAGAGTTGAAGCAGAGGAAGTTTCAACGGAACAGGCAAGTCCTAAGAGATAGGTTTGATGACTGGGAAGATGCCTATAAACTTGAACTCGAGCAGCGAAGAATGGATGAAATGTTCATGAAGGAAGCACTTTTGGAAGCCAAGAAGGCTGCTGATACTTGGGAGGTCCCTGTTGGTGCTGTTCTTGTGCAGCATGGGAAAATTATTGCACGAGGATGCAACTTGTAAGTATTATGATATTATTTTATTATTAGTAATTGTCGTATTTTTTAATTTATATCAAAATATCTATTTCAGAGTAGAAGAGTTACGGGACTCCACTGCCCATGCTGAGATGATTTGTATACGAGAAGCTTCAAACTTTCTTCGGACATGGAGACTATCAGTAAGTTTTCCTCGTTTTAAAGTGTAATTTGATATACAGCCAAAATTTAGTATTCAATTGATATGTTTCTCTTATATTAAGCTCGTATTACTATCTTAACATGCGACAATATCTTTGTACTTAAAGTTTAAAACCCTCATAGGTCAGGCTATCTCCACCATTTTTCTGTTGAAGACATTGATAGCAGCTGAACTAATGTTTACAGAACACTGATAGTACTTTTTACATCCACCTTTTGATAGGAATCAAATGCATGTTATCTAATTTACGAGTAGATATGAATGATAAGTAAATAACATACCACAAAAATGGCAAGTGGACTTGTGCTGTTGGCAATAGGATAGGTTTGATATTATTGGCTGGTTTCGTAAAAATTCTTAAATGTTTATATAGCAATAACTTCTATTGAGTATTTCTTAATTCATTTTGGAACGGTTTAATAGTTGTATAGGAATGTGCAAGCTTGCAGACTTTGGTGCAGACCTTAACATCAGACGAGGCTGCTCCTGGGTCTTTATGTAGTTTGGTTTAAGAAACCTTGTCTTTCTTTTGGATGCTTCCTCTTAGAAACTTATAGTTCTCTCTATGTTTACTGTTTGCCGACCATGTTCATAGTCTCTAAATTGCCCCTTAAAAGGACCGTGAGCAGATAAACCAAAATTAATAGATGATGTTGGAACCCCCACTCATGTGGTAACGATCTCAAAATAAACGCTTCTATAAGTTATAGAGAATTCCACAATAATTGCACCAGTTATGTTTAAATCACCTAAGCAATATTTGGTTAAGGGAATTGGAGTGAAAAGAAAGCAAAAGATGTATGGTTCTGGACTTAATTGTAGTCCAGGTAGATGAATCATTTCCCTCCTTTTCAATTCTTTCTTACCAAATATTGCTTAAAGTTTCACTTTGTAATTTGGTCCATCTTGAGAAATGGTCGATATCTTTTAGGTCTGGTATTTGATACAACTTGATAAATTAGTTTGATGGCTCATTTGTTTAAGGGCATAATTTTCCCACTCTCAGGACACTACACTTTATGTAACGCTTGAGCCTTGTCCAATGTGTGCTGGTGCCATTCTTCAGGCAAGAATAGATAATGTTGTGTGGGGAGCTCCTAATAAGCTTCTTGGAGCTGATGGTAGCTGGATTAGGTAAGCAGTCAACATGCTTCTTTGTATTGCTTATAATTATATGGTTGCAAGGGGCATGGGAATCTTTATGATTCATCCACGTTCATGAATCTTTACATTCCCTTTTGTTATCTCTGGTTAAATTAGTCATGCCTTAAACAACTGCATTGAAAAAGATGGATAGCGCACAAGTGTATTGCGTAATATAATGATAATAAGAAAAGAACTACAGTACCGTAAAACATACTTCCTAGCAAACAGCATTTGATATTCGACTACAAAGTGGATAACTGTTAAAAATTTTAGATGTCAAATCCCATATTTATTGATCAGTGAGATTTCATTAATAAGCCTATAAAACATGGTTTCTACTTACCTTATGCTGTATAGATGACATTTCTGTAACAACCCCATTTGTCAACATCTTTTTACGTGAAGGTTCCTGCTGCTAATTTACTTTTTCAGAACCTTTGAGTTGCATTTCTTGAAACATACTGGAATTACAACTATTAAGCATGGAAGGGGTTTCCTCTTTGTTTTCCTAACTAGAATTGAGTCGTCTTTTAGAAATATTCTTGAAAGCTCAGCACATCAAATATTAATAACGAACACTTCTATAGATGGGACGTGCAAAGATTGAAAAAAAAAATGTGACTGAACTTTTTTGCAGGCTTTTTCCTGATGGAGGAGAAAATGTTTCTGAAGCAAGAGACATTCCACCTGCCCCAGTTCACCCATTTCATCCAAATATAAAAATAAGACGAGGGGTCTTGGCCACGGAGTGTGCTGATGTGATGCAGCAATTCTTTCAATTAAGAAGAAAAAAGAAGAAAGAAGAACCATCAAAGGCTGTTACTCACCACCATCCCTCCAAGTTACTTAACAAGATACATGACATCTTTCACGTAATGTTCTGTTTGTAAAAGAGCAGATTCACATATTTCCTCATGTTTTAAATGAGCATCCGAATAATATTTTCAAACATGATGAATGGCCATTGTGGAAAGTACAATGTTCAATCAGCTAAGCTGTCGTGGAACCAATTTTGTCAACTTTTATTTCAAGTTATAACAGCTTAGTATAGATAATGACATGAATACAATGATATAATAGAGCCTATCTGTCTGTTTCTTTTCATTTATTTGGAACGGGTGGATGGGAAGTATTTGACATCACTTGCAAGAAAGAGAGATCAAGAGTATGTAGAACGATTGAGCTACAGATAAAACATCGCAATCACATTGGTATGTTCTCATATAGATAGAGACCTCGTACTTACACAATAGATCATATATAGGAAGTGGTAGGTAAAATTATGTTCTCATTAGCATGTAGCATTGTGAATTATTAAAATAAGTGTGCTTAAAAGGCAAGTTACGCGATAACCATAATATTAACTTTGAATGGATGCAAGTCTAAAAAGATAACGACTTCAGATTTCAGGGGGCCCTTTAAGCAAGGAAAGCTAATTATACCTACACTTTTTCCGTTGTTAAGATTGCTTATTAGATTATCATTGGTGATGTTGCAATCACATGAAGGCTACATTCCTCCTTCCACAGATAATCCACGCAATACGTTTCAACCGTCTGCTTTATCATAGCCCATAAATAAGAAGCAAAATCCTCTCTAGCCTACCAAATCCTAACGTACAATGGCAGCAGCAATGTTCTGGGCTTTGGCTTTAGCAAGCCTCTGCTGCCTCCTAGCATCCAATGCCCAATCACCAGCTACAGCACCACCAAAGTTGCCACCTACAACCCCAACAGCAACTAGCCCATCTTCAGGCACACCACAAGTGGCAACACAACCACCCATTGTGGCATCATCCCCTCCCACCACAAGCAAACCACCAACTGCAACCCAGCCACCTGCAAATGTGGCTCCCAAACCTGCTCCTGTGACACCACCAGCTCCCAAGGCTGCCCCAGCTTTAAGCCCAAAAGCCCCATCACCCCAAATTCCACCACCACAACCACCAAAGAGTCCACCTGTCCCAACTCCTACATTGCCACCACAATTACCACCACCAAAGATATCCCCAACACCAGTGCAAACACCACCAGCCCCTGCACCGGCAAAGGCAACACCAGCACCCGCACCCACAAAGCAAGCACCAACACCATCACCTGTTCCTTCACCACCAACACCAGCACCGGTGCCTGTAACAGCAACACCAGCACCAGCTCCTGAATCCCCCAAGCACAAGAAAGGAAGACATAGGCACAAGCACAGGAGACATCAAGCACCAGCTCCAGCACCAACAATTATTCGCAAAAGTCCCCCAGCACCACCTGATACTACAGCAGATGCGGACACAGCACCAGCTCCAGCACCAAGTCTGAATTTGGTAATATCTTTGACCAGTGAAATAGCAAATTACAATTATATAAATTATGGGCTTTATTAGTCTCCTTTCACATAAGATAGTTATAGGTGAGGTGCAAAAATCGAAGTGAGAACATGAGAGAATATATCTTATGTGAAAGGAGAGTAATATTTCCCATAAATTATATACATAAACTGCTGACCTGACACAGCTCAATTATGTATAAGCCAAATCTACCAGTGCGTTTCATTAGCATCACTTTGTTTTGATCACATTTTATGTTTTTTTACTTCACAGAATGGTGCACCATCGAGCCATCAGCAAGGGAGAAATATATGGGCAACGGCTGGACTTGCTATTACTGTTTTGCTAGCTGTCACTGGCTACAGCTGCTAGCAGTCTCATAGTGACCATGGATTCAATCTAAGCAGTTATTTGGTTTGCAAAATATAAAATCATTTCGCATGTATAGATCTGAATAATGAGTCTATACCTACGATTTTTTTCTCTCTTTCTTTTATTCTTGACGTGATTTTTGTTCAGAAATATTAATGGATATGAATTTTTGAATTATGGAAATAATCAGGAAAAGTCACATATAAATGTTTATGGTTTGAGTTATCACATCAAACTTGATCAATTTCTGAGTCCATGTTCATTTTCTCCCGAAAGTCATGCTCCGTGACAAGTCCGAGATTGTCAACTAGTTTGTGATGCCGTAGACATCCTGCACACTAGTAAGATGAACTTCCAATTACTTGCAATAGAATAAGTACTTGCATAATTCTAATGTTACAAATATGTCTATCAAGAACTATGAAATGCATGAGAAAATGGTATGACCATCAATAAGGTTTCCAAAAACAAAAGCATACTTAACAAGATAAAAGGTAACCATAAGACCAGCAGCAAGACGATCAGCGCAAATGAACTTCAACACACTTGCATACATAATCCAATATTTTAAACATTCCATGAATTATTGAACTTTCAGTACATGCAGCAACGCAACCCAGTTACTTCCTTTGTATGATGAGCACCAAACTCAAATTTCATGAGAGGGTAGATAGAAAAATTTGTGTTCCACTACAATATTTTACAGAATGGAGTAATAAAACACCATGCATGACTATATTCAGAGAGAAACCAAACAGGGTTCCTGGAATTTCTACCCCAAGAAAACAAAGTCAAAATACTAAATTATATTCAAATGACAGGAAAATGAAACTTTAGCTTGAGCAAAAAACTTACCAAGTTACATGCCATCAAACAATCATTAATAACTGTTATATAAAACTACATACACGCTGTAATATATTTCATACTCACTCTCTCGTTAATTTATAGCAAGCAATGGCAGAGGGAAGAAGAGAAGAAAAAATGACAATTATTGAATGGAAAAAAAAGTTACTACATATATTGAATATAACAGTATAAACAAAGCTATTAACTTAGGCAGTAAAAGTAAAGGTGAGCAAGAGCTAAACTACATTAACTATGCATAACATAATAATATTTACTCTCTTTCTCTCTACATATATCAAGTATAACTTTATAAGCAAAGCTATGAACTTAGGCAGCAAAGGTAAAAGTGAGCAAGAGCTAGACTACATGAACTATGCATAACATACTTATTTACTAGGCATATAAGTTAAAAGAAAAGGCTTATAACGAGAGTGTGAAGAATAAATCTAGACCACTGGATCATGCATGTGTGGTGGTCAAGATTACAAAATATAGTTATATGATATGTTTTTAAGTGGTCATACGACCTCTTTTAGTAATTTTTAAACCTAACCATCCATTCAAGATCCAACGACCATGGTTCAGTCCTCTTCCCTCTCATATCTCTCACTTGATATGTCCCTATATGCATGTGTATGAACTATGTCCAAAACCACACCATATGTCATATTTAATCCTTGGTCTCCTCCTCAAATTTCTGCTTCTATTTTACTTTCATATACTTTCCCGAATTGCATCTCTGAAGGAAAGCAGATATCCTCTCTTTCAATCTTTTGTCATATTCATTCTAAAAAGCAGAAATCACCAATTGAACAAAAGACGAGAGGTAAAGCCATTCACTAAAACTATTATGTTATACTTTTCCAAAACAAAAAGGAAACTATCCAATTGGTATTTGCAATTTATGCGCACTGAAAACAAAACAACTCTACTACAAATATTATGTTGGACAAATGCCTGGGGCCAGACATATGGTATCAGGCTAGGGTTCCAGCAGGTCCTGTGCTACATGTGTTTTTCCCCCCTTCCTCGTGGGGAGATCCTTGATCCCCCATCCCCCATACTAAGTTGGAGAGCTCCTATCATAACTATATAAAAACAAATAAAAAAAAAAAAAATATATTGGACAAATGCCAACCATGAAAAGACCACTAAAAGAAAAAAGGAAAAAAAATATGCTAACAGCTTTTAGACAAAATTGTGAAACATTTACATTCAACGTATGCGTGTTCCCTAAAGTAATCAAGAAATAATAGATACCTGTACAAAAATAGCACCCCTTTCATATGCTAATCGGTTTACAAGCCTCTTTGTTCTTTCTCCACACAAGTTACATGTAAATTGTACGAGCAAACTTCTTCTTGGAAGACATAAGTCAATACTAGCACCCTGTGCATGTGAAGCATAATTAATTTATTGAGATAAAAGAATTACAGACAAAGCCAATATTTAAAAGGAAGATGATGCTTGATCTCTACCAACGAGAGAAAGATATGATTAAGTTTGTAACAATTTATCAAAAAACAAGTTGCTTTCAGAATATCATAACAGAGGAAACTAAATCATACTTTTCTTATTCTAGATATAAAGCCACATAACGAACTGATAGACATTCAAGAACAACAACAACCAAGTCTTATCCCACTAGGTGGGGAAATGAATTGAGAAACATACAACAATAACCAAACCTTACTTGACTAGGAAGGAAAATAAATTAATACAATAGGCATGAGATTGGAAATTCTGAAGCCAAAATATATTGTTGTCCCAAATTATTCATAAAGCACAAAAGTGGAAGGGGGGCGGCAAGAAAGAGTCCAGAAATATATATTCCATCAAAAAATTATTTTAAATAAAAAAAAGGGTGGGAAAACAAAGACAATATCAGTACTTGACAGGAATGAGAAGAGACATATACAGGCTCTTAAAAAAGTTCTTGAATTAAAATGACAAAAAACTGCTCTAACATGGCAGACTCAAACCAATTTCAATAAGAAAAAAAAAATATACTTAATCTCAGAACAATTATTGTCTGTATCACATACATTAAAATTAAGCACATTACTAAATGGTACATTTTTATTTATTTTTTAATTTCAAACATAGAATATAGCTAAGAGCATCTAATAGTGAACCAAATTTGTCTTCCATATCTAACTCGGCCAGAAAAATCAGGAAATTGTAAACCATATGGGAAATGAGTCAAATAACTCGTTTCACCAAAAAAGAGAGAGACAAATAACTCATTTTCTTCGTTTTTTCATTTGCTAGAAGACTATTTACTAAAAAAAAGAAAATATTAAATTGCTGAAACATTATTTATAGCCGAAAACAAAACCTCACTAACAGCTTCAGAACTGTCTGATTCTGGTTCTGGAGCTGTCACAGAATCATCATCCACCAACACATTCACTCTAAATACTCGACGGGCAAGCCTTGGTGCTACCACTGCAGCACCAGAATATCTTGACCTGCAAAAAAAAAAAAAAGCGTTTTTGTTATTACACTCTAAATTAATTTTCAGAGAGATTCAAATTGAGAATTTTGGTCAAAAAGAGAAAATCACAAACAAAAATGCCCTAGAGAAAGGGGTCTTTGTATGGAAACCTAACCAGGGGATTCTAATGGAAGGAGGGTTTTGCTTGATAGCTGAAATTGGAGGGGAAAGGTTGAAGATGGAGTGAATACGTTGAGGATTTTTGTTTGTTAAGGAAGAGACAGTAGCAAGGAACAGAGGGACACTGTAGACTGTGCCTGCCGCCATTATTGGTTTTTTTTTCTGTAAAGAATATATATATATAGCTATAAGATCAACTTACAAACTATTACAAGAGTAATAAGTTTTGTACTACATCTTAACCATTGATTAATAAATATGAGACATAAATTATAACCGTTACATTAATGAAATCAACTATTCACATTTTATGCGAAATTTTCTAGTTTGATGCTATGAAGCACCGACACTTTAAAAATTCTGAAGTGTCGTATCCGACACTTTCTGACATTGCAACACACGTTTTGAGACTCAAAAAAAAGTTTCAAATATTGTGTTGCATTGCATTTTAAGTTCCAACTATTAGATTCATTGGATTATGATTACAATTTTATTGAGTTAAATATAAATATTTAGGATATTTTATGTTTTTTTACAAAATTAATGTGTATTAAACATGGGTTTTATATTTCTCATTCAACATGAGAATTGAATTCTCATGTTGTAGAGACAAAAAGCATGTGGGACCCGTATGTAAGAAAAAATTATGTGTAGGACTCACGTTGGCACGAAAATCGAAGGGTGTGTAGGAAAATTCAAATTCTCATGTTAAATGAGAATTATAAAATCCATTAAACATTTAGCTTCATTTTTTTGTTAAATTCTTGAATATTAAATATAATATATACTACATAAATTTAAAATGCTATGTAATATTAAAATGTATCCTGACGTGTCAAAATCTAACATTTTTTAGAATTAACGTGTCAGAGTGTGTCATATCTCATATCTTGTATCGGTGTCGGTGGAACATAAGTTTAATGTCATATATATATATATATATATATATATATATATATATATATATATATATATATATAGGATCCTTTGACACCAGTGTCAAATTTCAATTTTGACACCTCATCTGAGGGCCGTTAGATCAAAAAAGATCAACGACTCTGATTTGCAAGCATGTGCAGTCGTTGATTTTTTTTTTATCTAACGGCTATCATATGAGGTGTCAAAATTAAAATTTGACACCGGTGTCAAAGGATCCTACCTCTATATATATATATATTTATATATATAGGTAAAATCATTTCTACAGTCGCTTTACGTACAACAACGTCAGGTGTATGATTATGATTCCCATATTTAATGCTTTCATCATTTGTATTGTTATGATTCCCAGCATTTAATACTTTCAAATATATATAGCAAATATTTGATTGCTGCACATACAGTAGCTGCAGAAATATATATATATATATATATATATATATATATATATATATATATATATATCTTACACCGGTGGAAGTTGATCCTGTAAGTTATATATGTATATTAATTAATTATTAATTCTCAATAAATTATAACCATTAGATTGACGAAAATTAATGGTTAAGATTTTGTGTGAAATTTTTTAGTTTGATACCAGTGTCAAAATGATCGCGTCCCTATACACACACAAATATATATATATATATATATATATATATATATATATATATATATAATTTCCTAAATATTTATAATTAATAAAATTGCATTAAAAATAAGTTAGTGAAATTATTTCTTTCAAATATTTTAATTATAATTTTTTTTTGAATAAAATCATTTAATTTAAATGTATTTTAAACATTTATTCATTAAATGAAAAAAATTGTAATTTTACAATTTTAAATATTAAATTCAAATAATTCGTACAATACATGGAATAACTAGTAAATAAAAAAAATATTTCAAGACTAATACGTGTGTGTGTGTAACTAGGCAATATAATAGCTTATGTTCTATGTTCACCTATTGTCTTTGTGTTTTCATTTCATTGGCTTTTTTATCGTTAGGTTCATGAATTGTGACGGGTAACTTAACTACTTGTGACAATAATTGAAGGATAGTTTCATAGTAATGCCTATAGGCATAACTTGTTAAAGACCCAAAAATACTTGTATAAGTGCACTATTTGGTTATTCTATGAACAACTTTCAGAAATTGATACTTAGTTTGTGCATAAAGATGATGGAAAAGCTCATGACTCAGTCTTGATCTTGCAGAACTGGGTAGCCATTAGGAAACAACTCAGCACAGTAATTGTAGTTAATCATTCATTGGATGGATACTTGTACAATTATATTTACATAATTATATTGGTTTTTATCACCTTTCATCCCTAATCGTTATTTTATTCCATAAGAGCATGCTTTTTCTCTTTTCTCGCTCCAGTTATGAATTTTATAGAACGCAGGATAATAACAGTAACATAATAAAGTACATGACAAGGTGTTACCAAAGTATTAGTGGAACTGCAACTTTTCATTAATTTCTATTTCTTGTAATGAAAAATTGTGTGTACAATTGAGGAGGATATTCGGCAAATCAACCAAATGAAATAATCAAGTTGATCAATGATGCATCAACTTGAATAACGACAGCTAATCTGCTCCTTGAAATATTTGTCTGGAAGCATCCCTTATCCTTGAAATAATGACAACTCTTGCCAATTGCCTTATTAGTCTTCCTCATCCACTTCATGAAAAGGAAGTGGTACTATCTTCACTGCTCTAAACTTGCCAGCATTATTTAGATGCTCATTCTCCAATCTGGAACAATAATATTTTATTTAGTATTTATATCATTTGAATGGTGTTGAGTAAGGTTATATAAACTTTGCATCATTTATGCATGTATATATGATGTATCATAAGTGGAAATAAATGGACATTAATTAACTCTTTTACCTGTAGAAATTCCATAGCCCTCGTCTAATAACTTCAAGAGCTGCTAAAAATAAGCTTGTTACTCGATAATCAACGTTTTCAAAAGATGAATGGAGGACAGTTTGCAACCAAGCAAGCCTCAGAAGAAGGTTTAATCCCTGCATAAATTGCCAAAGTTATTATTCATGGTCAAGGTCAGCTTTAAAAGTGGAGGGCCCATATTTTGTAATCTGAAAAGAAATCATAGTTTGTTTCTATAATGTCTGCTTGATATTAAAAAATAAAATCCTTTGCTATTATCTTGTCTTTTTTAATCTAGATTTGGAATCTCACTTTATTTTGTATAATGGCCTTATCAGCATTTCTTTTGAGAATATGTTTATTCTCCACTTTGTGGCATTTTATAATGAACACCTAATATGAAAGGTTACTTTCCTCTTTGTTAAGATGTTAGACTACAATAATTAGTTGGCTAATCATGATAAGTGATAGTTTTTTTGGTGCCAATTGTATGCATACCATTGACAAGTAGTAAATGCCTTTTCTTCGAAGCATTAATTCATTCCTTAGCCATGGATTCTTGGAATTCATTTGAAGCAAACCCCAGTCTTTTACAAAGTCCCAATACAATTGATACACAGTTGCTGCACTTGACATGATCACAACAGCACATAGCCATCCAATACTCCCATCTTTCTCATAAGCCACTTTAGCACCTGCTGCTAACATTGCTGATACATATTTGCCTAGATTGACAAGGTGACTTGTCTGCCCTTCATCAAACCATCTTCTAGCACACTATAATCAAATAGAGTGACATTAGTTCTATTCATTTCTGAATTATTGGATTTGAGAATATGCTTCAAGAGAGGCAAAAAGCATATACTTTACCTGCATAGCCCTCCAATAATAGGGTAGAAATGACACTGCATAGGCTAGATCTCTGTAGTGCTTTTTCCTCATGCAGTATCCATAGTTCTCAGTTTTGTAGCTCCCAGTTATATAATAACATGCCACGTACTCAAGGTTCCTGAGCATTGGCACCTACACAGTGATGATATAATAGTTAAATATAATTGTTAAGTTTTACCCTTCAGCAAGTTTTTTTATTGCCAATAAGAAAAAGTGCTTCCTATACCTGACTACAAAGTTGATCAGCCATGAAAAAGTCCAGCATCAAAACCTAAAGAGACAAGATAGAAGCCAGTGAGATTACGGCCACAATAAATAATGTTTTTAATTTCAACAAATTTTTATTTTTGAATTTCTTTTTACTTTGTGGAAATATTAGTGGCACTGTGCTTTATGCCTGATGACATGTTATAATGATGATGGTGGGGAAACACTACCTTGTAAAGGGGTGACAAAATTATGTTCCTTATCACACAAAGGAAACGATAGCGGCTTGACCGGTATATAATGTTAAAGGGGCACACCAGTACTAGGGAGAAGACCTGCACATGTAGTAAAAATGTTATAATTTCAGCTTAGTTAACCTAAGAATTAGGCAAATAGACATGTGCAAAAGAATGCAAATGTGAATTTAATAAATAATAAATGTTAAAATTTCAGCCGGGCTAACCTAAGTATTAGACAATAGACAAGTGCCCAAAAATGCAAAATTGAATTTAATATATAATAAATGTTAGAATTTCAGCCGAGCTAGCCTAAGTATTAGACAATAGACCCATTTTTTTTTTTATTATGCTATTATTTCTCAGATGTTGATAATAATACCCCTCCAAGTGCCAGAAAAATGCAGGAGTGAGTTTAACATATAATAAATGTTGAAATTTCAACTGAGCTAACCTAAGTATTAGACAATAGACAAGTACCATAAAAATGCAAAAAGTTAGTTTAACATATAATAAAAATAATTACCAGTAGAAGTAGTCCTGGAATGTCTTGAACTTGGGCATAAGAATACCCTTTTGTTAGTAGAGTCAAATGAAGAAACATTACCCCAACCACAGCAGTCATTGCCACTGTACAAATTAAGAATATATCTCTATACTTAAGTTCCTTGGTAGGGGCCAGCTCAAAAATGAAGCTGTAGTTTATACGAGTCTTTCTCCATGCAAGAATGTTGCAACCATAAAGAAAGAAATGTAGAAACACAAGGCTGAACATGCTGCAAAAACATAACAGCAATTCATTAATGTTCAAGTGCTATGCAAATATGAATGAAATATTGTGCTACAAAAAGCAGGTTTACTTACCTAAGCACAGGATACACAGTTTCCATGTAAACTGAAGTTTTTTGTCTTCTGTACAGGCCAGTTAAATGAGCCATTATAACATATCCAGCAAGAAGTGCCAACAAGC